TAATAATAATAATAATAATAATAATAATAATAATAATAATAATAATAATAGTAATAATAATAATAATGATAATAATAATAATAATAAATAATAATAATAATAATAATAATAATAATAATAATAATAATAATAATAATAAAATACAATATCGAAATAATATATCAGTTTTATTAATTCGTTCTTTATCCAACTGCATGACATATGCTTCCAACTTTGTGAATAAATTTACATGACATTTTATGAATAATAAAAGTTACTGTCATTAAAATTTTGTCTATCTCAACCTATCGATTTATTTTCGACCAAGAAATTCCGGAATTTTACCATTTCAAACTGATATATATACCTAAAAATCGGTAATAACTCTGATTTTCAGCTACAAAAAATAAAAGGATGTGAATGGATAAAAAAAGAGTTTAATATATTACGTAATCGGTTATTTCCGGTCAAAGGTTTTGACAATTTGCTATGACAGTTCATATCCGGGTATTACAAAAGCAATAGCACAGATAATATTAATCAAGCTTTGAAGCTATAGCTTAAAAGAGAAGAGCAGAAATTAGGTAAAAAAGAAAAGCAAAATAAGATGGATCTTTCATCATCATTATCAATGATACAATCAACCGTTGATAATCATCCGGTTTCAGATTCCGGTCAATGAATCAATTCTTCTATTCATCAAGAATGAGCAAAAATTAATCAAATATCCGTTTTTTATAAGCTTTTTTTTTTACAACCTACTAAAAGAATCGATTGTTTGACAATAACAGCAGGATATCGAGTGATAATTCTCCTTATTCTTCCTTCCTTATCATTATCACCTTTATCACTATTCATATCATTAATGGGATTTCTCTCATTCTCTCTGATTCTGTTATTATCAGCATCGTTTTCATTGCTAACAGCACTTGAAATAATTTCGAATTCCCGTTGCAGTGATAAATATTATGTGTGTGTATGTGTATGTGTATGCTTGTGTGAATGTGTGTGTGTGTGTGTGTGTGTGTGTGTGTGTATGTGACACACGGATATAAACACGCATGCGTAAGAGTATGACACATGCTATCTGTGACACATGTTATGCTTTCAAGGTCAGGGATATTTGTGACCTAATCAAGAGGTAAATAAACCAAACCTTCTCCTTCTGTCTTTTTCTTCTCCTATCACCGAAAATCTTACTGATCAAAACCGATTAACTTTGTTTCAGAAAGAGAGAAAGAGAGAGAGAGAGAGAGAAGGAAAGGAAGAGAAAGAGCAACGGTGGTAACTAATCTGTCACTCTTCAAGTCATCATCAACCTCGATAAACGGATTCAATGTCAAATCATGTTGACAAACGAATCAATGCGGAAATGTCAAACATATGAACAGAAGGAACAAAATGAGAAATAATATTTTCATTTTATAGATTCTTTTCTTCAATTTCATCATCATCATCATCATCATCATCATCATCATCATTAG